AAGAGGAAAGGGGAATCGAGCAGAAAAAAGGGAAACACTGGAGACAAAAAGTCATAGTACAACTTCTTACGGAAGTGTGTAGCAGAGGGGAGTACAGTCAAGAAAAAAAAGAAAATACTCCGAGAAAAGCAAGAATGTGGTTGTACATTGCATAGCAAAATAATTCAATGAAAAGATAATGCAGTGCTAGGTGGATTATACATGACAATGTATGTGTCACAGTATTATGGTAAATGTTTGAGATAAGAGTTAGTGTTTCTCTAGAAATGGGTACCTTGAGGCAATTTTGCTTCTTATCAACATTATCTTTTCACCGTGCAGTTTAGCTGGCATTTCATGTCTAATTTCTATATAGAAAAAGAGAATTATTATCCATAGTTAAAAGTTACACAGCAAGATAGCAGCTTCAGCCTGTCAGTTCAGGATATAATCTTGGGGTTTGCAAGTTCAGTTCCTTTCTGCAACAAAGATTTTTAATATTGTTCTTTCTACTACTGCAGGAGCTAGAAGTCCCAGGCAAGGACTAGGCCACCTGCAGAGGGTTAATCCCAGCTAGCAGCCAAACACCCCCCCTGCCTCTCACTCCCTTCTCCTGCAGGATAGGGAGAAAATAGAAGGAATGCAGAAAGACCCATGGATCAAGATAATGACAGTTTCATAAGGAAAGCAAAAACTGCACAAGCAGGCAAAGCGAAAAGAGGAATTCATTCACTACTCCCCATCAGCAGACAGATGTTTAGCCACTTCCTGGAAAGCAGGACCTCAGCATTTGTAATGGTTGCTTGGGAAGACAAGTGCCACAACCTCAAACATTTCCCCTTATACCTCCTTTTCTTGTGCTTTTATCCCTGTATGGTCTGGAATATCCCTTTGGTCAGTTAGAGCCAGCTGTCCTGGCTGTGTCATAGAATCATAGAATGGTGTGGATTGGAAGGCACCTTAAAGATCATCTAGTTCCAACCCCCCTGCCATGCACAGGAACACCCTTCACTAGACCAGGTTGCCCAAAGCCTCATCCAACCTGGCCTTGAACACTTCCAGGAATGGGGCATCCACAGCTTCTCTGGGCAACCTATTCCAGCACCTCACCGCTCTCACAGTGAAGAATTTCTTCCTAATATCTAATCTAAATCTACCCTCTTTTAGTTTAAAACCGTTACCTCTTGTCCTGTTACTACATGCCTTTGTAAAAACTCCCTCTCCAGATTTCTTGTAGGCCCTCTTTAGATACTGGAAGGCTGCTATAAAGTCTCCCCAGAGTCTTCTCCAGGCTGAACAACCTCAACTCTCAGCCTGTCTTCATAGGAGAGGTGCTCCAGCCCTCTGATCATCTTTGTGGCTCTCCGCTAGACTTGCTCCAACAGCTCCATGTCCCTCTTGTGTTAGGGACCCCAGAGCTGGATGCAGTACTCCGGGTGGGGTCTCACAAGAGCAGAGCAGAGGGGCAGAATCACCTCCCTTGACCTGCTGGTCACACCTCTTTTGATGCAGCCCAGGACACGGTTGGCTTTCTGGGCTGCAAGCGTACATTGCTGGGTCATGTTAAGCTTCTTGTCCACCAACACCCCCAAGTCCTTCTCCTCGGGGCTGCTTTCAATCCATTCTCTGCCCAGCCTGTAGTTGTGCTTGGGATTGCCCCAACCTATGTGCAGGACCTTGTACTTGGCCTTGTTGAACTTTATGAGGTTCACATGGGCCCATCTCTCCAGCCTGTCAAGGTCCCTCTGGATGGCATCCCTTCCCTCCAGTATGTCTGTCACACCACACAGCTAGATGTCATCAGCAAACTTGAGAGTGCATGCGATCCCACTGTCCATGTTGCCAACAAAGATGTTAAACAGCACCAGTCCCAATACTGACCCCTGAGGAACACCACTTGTCACTGATCTCCACTTGGACATCAAACCATTGACCACAACACTTTGAGTGTGACCATTCAGCCAATTCCTTATCCACTGAGGTCCATCCATCCAATTGTCTCTGCAATTTAGAGACAAGGATGTCATGTGGGACAGTGTCAGATGCTTTGCACAAGGCCAGGTAGATGATGTCAGTTGCTCTTCCATTATCTACCAACGCTGTAACCTCGTTGTAGAAGGCCACCAAATTTGTCAGGCACGATTTGCCCTTAGTGAAGCCATGTTGGCTGTCAGCAATCACCTCTCTATTTTCCATGTGCCTGAGCATAGTTTCCCAGAGGATCTACTCCATGATCTTGCTGGGCACAGAGGTGAGACTGACCAGCCTGTAGTTCCCTGGATCTTCCTTTTTTCCCTTTTTAAAAATGGGGGTTATGTTTCCCCTTTTCCAGGCAGTCTGGTGAAGTTCCCACTGACACAACTTCTCAAGTATGATGGAGAGTGGCTTAGCAACTTCATCTGCCAGTTCCCTCAGGACCCACAGATGCATCTCATCAGGTCCCATGGACTTGTGCACTTTCAAGTTCCTTAGATATTCTCAAACCTGATCTTCTCCTACAGTGGTCAGTTCTTCATTCTCCCAGTCCCTGCCTTTGCCTTCTGTGACTTGGGCGGTGTGGCTAGAGCACTTGCTGGGCAAGACTGAGGCAAAAAATTCGTTGAGTACCTCAGCCTTCTCCATATCCTGGGTAACCAGGTTTCCTGCTTCCTTCCAGAAAGGGCCCACATTTTCCCTAGTCTTCCTTTTATCACTGATGCATCTCATCCGAACATCTTGCCCACTTGCAAGCCTACTTGCTTTGAGGTGAGGGGAGGGAGAGGAGAGAAAGAAAGCCTTGCTGCTGTGCAAGCACTATTCAGCAGCAGCCCAAAGACTGATGTGTTATCAACACTGTTTTAACCCCAAATGCAAAGCACAGCACCATATGAGCTGCTGCAAAGGCAGTTAAGTCTGTCCCAGCCACATCCAGTACATCACCACTATATGGGGTATTGTACAGGCACAGTGGGAAAGGGTAACCCTTACTTTGCAGTCATTAATAGAACTGTGAAAGAAGAGCTGGATATGCGCGGTACAGAACAGTCAGGAATGGTCAAGAGGATGAATAGTAAAGTAGCCTTAGTATTATGGATTACACTTCTAGTTAGAAAACAGTTTATTTGCAATGTCTTGTGCATGATGGTTTTTTTTGCAACACATGATAACAAAGTCTATTGTAAGTAAATACATGACAGTCAGAAAATAAATATCAATTCCCATTTTACAGTGAGCTAGGACTCTCATTTTTATTTATCTTGTGTAATGGTAACAAATCAACCAAAACGCAACCCCTAAAAGACCAATCTTTTCCTATTGTTTTATGTGTTCTGTGGCTCCCTCCATGGTTGTTTTAGGGTCATTCCCACACATATTTTTGCCCATGCTTTTCTGTTACATCTGTGATCTGTTTATTGTTGATTTGAGCTTTTTGGAGGGCGGGGGGTTGTGGGTTTGGGTTTTCTTTTTAGTGGGCATCTATTCTCATTCACACTATAAAGGAAAACGGTCATCTTGACCTAGAGGTTTATTAGAAGTGCTCAACATTTTTACCTTTTTTTTTTTTTTACACTTCTAAAGTGTTTTGAAGGTGAAAAACTTTAGCATGATGCATGGAAAGTCTTTATTAGCCCTCCTTTGGCAAATGGGGGAGCTGAAGTAGTGAAATACATCATTTACTGAAGCTCAGACAGTGAGATGGTTACAAAACTGGGGTCAGAATTCAAGAGCCAGTGACATTCAATTCCTCCCTTGTTGTGTCACTGTTTGACTGTGGAAACGTACCTCTAATCCTCAGAACATTAGGCTTTTCTTTAGAGTAGGTTGTTGTCAATATTGGAGATCATGCTGGATTTACGTTTGTGCAGGTAGCTGTGTCTGAGAAAAATTTAGTTCTCTCCAAATGTTACAAAAGAATTAAATATTGGTAATAAAGCCAGAGCTTTATTTATTACATCCATTAAATCAAGACAGTAGAAAAAGATCATACAAAGCACTTGCACAGATTGATTCTTGGGTTACAAAACTGTTCTGTGGTCAGACAAACTATGGTCTTCTACCACATGATCAGAAAATGCTCAGTGATGCCAGCTGGCCTATGAGTACATGGAGGGCAAAACAAGTCTTATGTTATGGTTCCTTCATTACCCTCAGGGCACTAATGGGGAAAATTGTATCTGTAATCTCTTCTGCCTACCCGTTCCTTGGAGCAGGTGATTCTCCAGTAAGCTTCTTCAGACTTGCCGGCTTGGTCCAGGTTATTCCATCTTTGCTGATACGCTCCCGCACGATTGTGTTAGCGAAGGGGAGCCCAGCCTGTTAGTCCCGAGATGCAGGCAGCTCTTGGGCAGTTTCACGGTGACCCATGTGACCAGTGACAGGACTGGAAACTGCAGGAGAATCTAGCCACCAGAGAGACTGAGGATTGTGTTGCTGGCTTGGTCTTGGTCCCAGCATCATACCCAATACACTCCTGTGAAGCTAGGATATTTGAAGCTGAACTTTCTCTGTAAACTAATTGCATCTGCAGGAGTACAGCCAGCCAAGAGTAAGTGCAGGGAGTTAGGTGCAATTAAAATCATCTGAAATGACGAGTACAATGGCATCTGGACCTAATGGCACAGGCCTTTTCTCCAGTGTGCATTTGCCTTGGGAGTAATTGGAAGTTGGATCTTTCTCCTGTATATAATAATTTCAGAATACAAAGGCATGATTCCTCTCCTTTCCTTAGGAAGGTATTGAATTTTCCTGCAGTAGATTTACTTTGAAGTCTTGGTATGCATTTTCCTTGTTTTTTACTGAGTGTAATCAATGACCAATGGACTTTAGATGCTTATTCTTTGACAGGGACAAGAAGAAACAGGAAGGAAAACAGCTGATTTTTAAAAAGGAACAGTGTTTCTGGGGAACACTTCAGGTAGCTTTTTATAGCACAGGGAAAGAGAATTTATCACTCTGGTCCAGTCCTTCCCTATCCTCTCTAGCCTGAAAGGTACAGAAGGAAAGTGTACCATTCTGAACAGATTGATGTCATCTCTATGGGCATGAAGGAAGACCCAGGGAACTACAGACTGGTCAGCCTTACCTCAGTCCCTTGGAATGTGATGAAGAAAATCCTCCTGGAAAGTATCTCCAAACGCATAAAGGACAAGAAGGTGATTAGGAATAGTCAGCACGGATTTACAAAGGGGAAATCATGCTTGACCAGCCTTACTGCCCTCTCTAATGAGGTGACTAGCATGGACAAGGGGAGAGCAGTGGATGTTGTTTACTTTGATCTTAGTAACGTTATGGTCTCCTGTAACATCCTCATGGACAAGCTAGCAGGGTATGGCTTAGGTAAACGGGCAGTGAGGTGGATTAGACACTGAATGGCCAGGCCCAGAGGATTGTGGTACAAGGTCCTTGGAGGGCAGTCGCTAGTGGTATACCCCAGAAGTCAATACTGGGGCCAGTGCTGTTCAATATCTCCACTAATGGCTGGAAAGCAGTTCTGCAGAGAAGACCTTGGGGTCCTGGTGGACAACAAGCTGACCATGAGCCAGCAATGCACCCTCGTGGCAAAGGCAACCAGTAGCATCCTGGGCTGCTTTAGGAAGAGTGTTGCCAACAGAGGGAGGGAGGTGATCCTTCCTCTCTGGTAGGCACAGGTGAGGCCACATCTGCGGTGCTGTGTGCAGTTCCGGGCTCCCCACTGCAAAAGAAACATGGACTTAGTGGAGTGAGTCCAGCACAGGTCCACAAAGGTGATGAAGATTCTGGAGCATCCTTCACATGAGGAGAGGCTGAGAGAGCTGGGACTGTTCAGCCTGGAGAAGAGAAGGCTTGGGGGCGATCTTATCAATGTATGGATGGGAGGGAGTGAAGAACAGGGAGCTGGAGTCTTCTCAGTAGCGCCCAGTGACAGGACAAGAGGCAATAGGCACATGAAAGTCAATCTGAACATCAAAAAATCTTTTTCACCATGAGAATGGTCAAACACTGGCACAGGTTGTCCAAAGAGGTGGTGGAGTCTCCATCCTTGGAGATGTACAAAACCTAGGTAGACGCGATCCTCAGCAACTGGCTCTAGGTGTCCCTGCTTGAGCAGGGAGGTTGGGCAAGATGACCTCCAAAGGCCTTTCCAACCTCAAGAATTCTCTGATTCGTTGATCCTTGCTGTAAGCACAGGACACATAACAGCACACCTTACATATCCCATATGGCTGTGACACACATTGTGCTGCTCTTACCCCGCCCCCAGCCCTAGGTGTAGCTGGTTGGCCTGGCCTATGCCTGGCCCGTTGAGCGGGTGGTGTCATATCACAGGGGGAAAAGGGTCTTGGGCCTTGCCCTCATCACTTCAGGGCAGCAGCAGCATAATACCTGGCCCTTCTTTGTTGTGAAGAACAGATCTCTCAGCCCATGTCCTATCCCATTAACATCCTTGAAAAATCTGCGCTTGTTTACCCTTTTTTAGGGGCAATGGGTTGGCTTTTGAAGGAAGACCATATCAGGAAAGAGCAAATTATGTTTCATTTTTAGTAGAGCTGTGCTCACTTAAAATCAGAATGGGGTTTAGACTTGGGAGCTTATGTCAGTGCTATTCAAGAGCCCACATTTTCTACAGGCATGTTGCAGAGGATGTGGTTGCCTTGCCTCCAGCTCAAAATAGAGAAGAGAATGCAGACTCTTACCATCTTTCTTTTATGATGTCTGTTCTGTCTGGTAAGGTGTTGAGTGCCTCCTGGCAATTGCTGACTGCCTTTAGCTCTCGTTGGCTTTGCTGCAAGGTAGTTCCTGATATATACCAGCGTTCCTAAACACCCTTCATGACTCACTTCAAATATCTGGTCCAATGAACAGTCAAGAAGTGGATTAGTTTAAGCTGATCTACTTCTGTGAAACAGAGTAAATACGGAACTTTATTTAAATCCAAAAATCCTGCCTTGGAGTTGATCAATGTATGTGTTCTTTCTTTGTTTTTCAGAAACCAGAAAGCACTTAAATAGTAGTGTCCTGCAGTGTGTCCCCCACCCCTTTTGTAATGCAGGTCTGAAGGCTGGATATATTTTGTGGAGCACATTGAAATCTTCTAATGAGACTGACCATCATTTGATCCGTACTTCTGGTCTGAATGGTTTGCTGGCTATGGGTTACACGTCTGCCGCCCTCACAATCTGTGAAATACTATATTGAAATGGAAATGGCAGTGCCCTAACTTTATTGTGCCTCTAGTTTTTATTTTCAAGATGTATTAACCTGCTCTCCTGACCACAGATGCATAAAGAACACTCATAACATTTGGTCATTTTATTGCTTTGCCATTCATTTCTCTCTCTTGTGCTCTCTGTGCCACAAACTGACTTCTAGGATATATGTTGACCTGTATCCCAGAAAGTTACATATTAATCATTTTATCACTCAATTTTAAATTCTCTGGAAACAGGAATTCGGGGAGGGGGGGGGGAGGGGAAATACAGTCATCACCCAGTGTATCATGATAAACCAGTATCCGGTGAAGGAACTTTGATATTTGTCACTTTTAAAGGACAAATAATATTACGTGTCTCCCTTTCCTACATTTGTTAGCATTCTTTTTTAACAGGTGAGTTTTAAACTGATTGTACCTGGTAGCCATGCAGGCAATATAATGTGGCAAACATGGTATAGCTTTACATAAAGTTGTTTATATGGCCCCCTTTGCACCTGTCCTGTGAAATAGCATTATGTACCTTTGATCAAAGAACCCTCTTTAGAAATTGCATGTAAATCTCATATTGTGAAATTTACGCTAAGAAAGGAAATCTTTGAAAAAAAAGTCCCTCTTGCCACGCAGTGATTTCTTCCTACCTGTGTACAGGTAGGCACATCTAAAATCAAAGAAGGGAGAATCATTACTATTTGGTTTTGGAATTGTTTTAATTGTGAAATATGCTTGAAATGGAAAGCATGTTTGTTCAAATCCACATTTCTACCCTGTTCTTAGGAGCTGAGCAGATTCATCACTTAATTGTTGGTACCTTGTATCTTCTTATTTCTGAGGAATATAACACCTGATGATGATGAATTTTCTGACCTTGTCCTTGGATGGCTAACATTCTTCTCTGTGTTTCTTCTCAATTTTTTATACCTTTTAACTGAAAAAAACCCACTTCTATGCTTCCATGGAGTTGAAAGAACTGGGTCTAGTTTAAACTAAGGGTTTTTTACCAGTGCTTCTTATTATTTGAATGGTGGTTGTACTTCAAGGATCCAGCCCGTCTTACCCTTTGTAAACAGTAAAAAAGTTGATAAAGTTAATCGTTCAAGCGTGAAATGAGCCAATAGGCACATTTAGTATTTCTGTGAGTTAGCTCTTTCTTCTTCCTTTGTACAGTGTAATTGAAACTGAGAACTGATGATTGTGAAGACACCTGAATAAGGGAGACCGCTTTTAGCCTTGGTGGTTAGAGAAGTGTTGTCCTCATCCCGCCTTTATCCAAGAGCAAGATTCAATGCTTGCTGTGACTTCTTGTTGAGTCTTCCTAAAGAATGAAATTTCATTAAATTTAGTTTTCATTTTCTCATGAAAATAATGGATCTGTGTCTTGCATCACTTCAAGTGTTCTCCTAAATTATAGGGTAAATGACCTGCTGATCTCCTGATTGTTCAAGTTAGTTATTCAACAGGCAATTCGGACGACTCTTTGCTTAACCTACATTAGGATTCAAGGAACCGAGATGGATGGTCTGTGGCAGCCTGAGCCAGTGTGGGTTACTAGCTGCTGCCATCCTGCCTGCTCAGTCCTTCTTATCCTTTCCCTTGGATTCCTGGCTTTTCCCTCAAGCTCCCTTGCTCACCTGACCCTGCCTTATGTGATAGCAGAGTCAGAGTAAAGCTATTTGCTTATTTTAGTAGTTCACTTTTCTGCTGGCTTAGTAAAATGAGATAGCTCAGCACAGATGAGTGCTGGAGCCAGTATGTGACAGGGAGTGGAATCAGGGTGGGAAGGAGAGGATGACCAAGGCCATGGTCCCTCATGAAACCACAGCTTAATGTAGACCTGCTGTACGTAGACATAGATTGGACAAAACTGCATTAAAATTATCTCAGAATTGAAAAACTGAGCCAGAAGTCTTCAAATGCTGAATCGCGGAGAGCATTGCTCTGCTGTCTTCTAAGAAATGTAGCATCTCAGAAAGCTCTGCCATGCACAAGATGCAAGACTTTGTGCATTTAGGATTCCCCAGTGGCTAGGCTGTGAGAACAGGCATGGTACAGACAGAAGCACTAAACGTGCAGGATGCTGCTATGATGTGGCACTCCCAACCAGAGGGCAGGAACATATTTGAGGAGACCAGGGACCGAGCAATACCATGCATTTGCAAAGGCACACATAACATCTGTTCTTTAGAAGCATTGAGGATGATCTAGCCCTGCACTTCAAAGTCCTATCTTCCCTACCTATATCTATTTCAAAGGTGGGAGGAGATGTAGGCTGGTAGTCTAGTGCAGAAGCCTGTCACTGGCTTGGACTGAACATCACTTACAATGCTAATATCAACTACTTGGACTACCACAGTAAAAATAATGGAACTGGACCAGATCTTACAGTAGCTTAGCCACTTGTGTGGGAAAGGATACTGGAACACTGACTTTACTCTTTGGAGCTACCTTTTTGAGGTGGTTCGCTGTCGCGACATTGATGTAGCTGTTTGGATGGAGTTCGGCCAAGGTGCAAGTTCTTGTGAACTTCTTGTGAAGTTCTTATGTGTGTATAGAGCTTTTGGTTGCATTTGAGGATGTGTATGTTTAGCCTGTCCACTTAGAACTGAGCAGGTGAAACTCAGTTTAAACTGCAGCAGGGAGAATCTAAGCTATGTTGTTTGGGTGTTGGGTTTTGGGGTTTTTTCCTTTTAAATGTAAGGAAATTATTCGGATAACAGATGCAGTTGGTTAGGAGTTTGGAGGATGAGTGTGCAGGAAAGGATGGTGCAGCCTTGAATTGCTGGCTTTCTCAGATAGTTTTTTAATGTCTTGGAGAAACACTTAAAAAGTGGATCATTACTGCTTCTGGTTGACTTTGGATGAACTAAAAATTAGAGTGGCTGAAAGCATGTATTGACAAAGTCTGTAGTAAGAAAATACTTGGATATATCCTTGGTAGATTTATTTTTATCACTCAGGCTAGCCAAGCTGGTAGAAGCAGTAAGATTAGTAAAAGAAACAAGTAGCTTTAGATTAAAAAAATAAAATAGCTTTTGTCCTTTGCAAGACTACAACTGAAGAAAGTTGTACAATAATGCTTTATAGTTTAATGTTGCAATGTTAACATATTAAAGCTTTATAACTATTGTATTGGGAGTGGGGTGAACTAATCAATTGCTCCAAATGTTTATATTATTTGCTATGATACTACCTTACAGTCTGCTAATACTCCTGCTCTGTAGGTGGTAGAAAAGGAAGGATAAAACTGTTAGTTCAGTTGCAGTCAGGTCCTCTGATTTTGCATGTGAGAAATCTCACTAAATGGAAGAAAAGGTGCATGCGTTCCTGGCCACCTTTGTTTTTACAACTTTCAGTGATTTCCTTCTGAAAGTCCATGGGGTTTAGCTGCTTCAGTCACTGCTGCAACTCCAGGCATTCAATGCCTCTTCTCTGTTTGAGATCTCTTGTATTGTACATAGAGACTTCTTCAGGTTGGATTCTTCAGGCTGAAACCACTGCTTTCCTTCTAGCAGTTGGCGCTTTCCCCACTCTTAATGGTCGTTTTAGCTCCTTTAACAGCAAATTGTAAAACATTATTACCATGCTCGTTACTTTGTCCTCCATTTTGTTTGGACCATCCAATTTATATTAAATATTTGTCTTCTGTTTCTAAGTGCCATTTTGTTGTGTTTAAAATCATCTCCACGGCCCTCTGAGCACCGTTGTAAAAATCTTGAATGTGGCTTTTGTCTTTCAGATCTCACTGCTAGTTGGATTCATCAGCGTAAATAATTCTCAATGGACGGATTACAGTGCATTCAGCTACTTTCAGATTGTCACCATGTGCGACTTGATTATGATTTTGTTCTTCTACATTATCCACATTTTTAGAATCTACAGGCAGCTCACTTGCGTTAGCTGGCCACTTGCGGTAAGCCTGTTAGATGGTCTCAGTTCCTGGCCTGTCTTGTGGGTTGATTACTCAATTACTTAGTCCATTTTCTTGTGTCATCACACAATGATAGGCTGTCTTTCACGTAATTCTTTTTTGCCTTGTTTACAAATCCTTTCGTTGCTTTTGTTACAAGTATTCAGTTCAGCAGATGCTGTAATTGTAAGTTTTTTGGCTGATTTGGATCTAATCCTGCCCCCCTTCACACAGATATAAATCCAGATTTACTTCAGGGAAGGCAATAGAGAGACAATTGAAAAGAAGCTACTGATTATCTAGCCTTCAGCAGACGGGTCGTAGCTCGGGTCATTTATAGCAGCTGAGGGATTGCTAGAGTACCAAATCATAGCATTATAATTCATGTACTACGTCCTGTCCCAAAATAAAGTCTGTGAGTGCTATTTAAGTCAAATGTGTCTCTCTCTGGTATAGTTTTAGGTAACTTACACAATAGCAAGAAATAGGAGCCTCTGCCTGATTGCCATAGCCTGGCCATTCCTGGGATATTCTGCAGGATGGTCCTGCCTCATTCCCACATTTCCCCTGCACACCTCTCTCATATCCTAGCAGAGAACTAACAAGCAGCACAGAAAATGCAAGACCTGAACTTCCTCAGTAGCTTTGGGTCAGATTGGCTAACAGAAGAGTCCTGCGTCCTAGGGTGGGATGACAGATTTTATTAACTGCTTAAAACATGTCTCCCTTATGCATAGTGACATGTTAGTTCCACAGAGAAAGGACCAAAGGGGTGAGGAAAGCCACATGGAGAGATATGGAGGGATTTTGAAATGCAAGAAGTGGTTGGGTGGCATTTAATGGAAGCTCTGTAAGTAGTTTACAGATCAAAAATAACAGTTTATCCATCCACTTCTCACTAGAGAAAAAATTAATTTTCTTTTTCTTTTTAGCTGAAGAATACGGTTAAACTTGTGCACCTTTTTATTTTTTGAAATGTATACCACCACTATCTGTCTCTAGAAAGTACTTCTTTATCTGGAGATAATACAGATGCAGGGATTGAAATAACCTAATAAATGACAGTTTTGCAAAGCAGCATTTAATGTGTCCATTGCTGTTATAGAACTGTGCAGTTTTGACCTCTGTGTAGGCTGCTTTTGATTTTTGTTGTGTGTGTAATCATTCCTAAATGTTCCAGAGTCACTAGTGAGTTTAAGGAACTGCAGTTTGTGGCTGTTCAGCTTCAGATAGCTTTATGGGATGCGATGCTTGAACATTTCCACTCTTTTACAACCAACCTCCTTTTCAGTCACATATTTAAGTATCTTTAGAACAGAATGAGAAGGCCTGTAAAAGACTTTGGGAAACTACAGCTAGTGTTTGGCAGTTTCCTGGCAGGATCCCTACATTGCAATCAGGGATCACAGATTTGCAGCCAATAAAGTTGCAGTGTTTCAGCACTGGCACCTTTTAAAGTAGTATTTCTCCAGAGGGGCACTCTCCCAGCCCTGCCAGGGGTTGATTCTCCACGTAATTTAGCCTTTGATGATTCTTTTGCACCTTTGCCCATCCCTTGGATTCCTCTAAAGTGGTGGCCTGTGGATACTGCTCTATTTGGTGTCTCTAAGGAGGGAATGGCACGCTTAATTTGCCTGCTGCATCGTGTACTAGCCAGAGAAGCCTCCTTGCAGAAATAATTTATTCTTGAGTACCTGAAACAAGGTTAGAAATGAGGAAAGTAAGTTGCAGTGCCAGGGCCTACTTTATGGCAAAGATCCTCCTCAGCTGTTCTAAACACCTGAGCAGAGGGAAACTGTGGTATGGTATGATAGACTATTTCTCTTCTGGGACTTACTTGAACAATTTCCATTTGGGACTATATTCTCTCTTCTTTGGTTTGAGAAGGAATCTCTCCTTACACATGGCATTTCCTTAGCTCATGCTGGTAGTGCAATGGAGATAAAGTAAGCAGATGTCCTCCTGCCCACCCCACCATGCAAAAGAAACAACCCGTGTTCAGTTCGCAGACACCCATAGTGGTTGCCATAACCTTTGGGAGCATTCAAAATCTAAGTCTATAAACAACCCCAGCTTGTAACAAGGTAAAATTGACTCCTGGACTGATACTCATAACACTAGAGAAGAGCTTAAAAGTGGTGCCTCAGTGCGCTCTCAGAAAAACCTGTGGCGTCATGTTTTACTGCAGGACAGCTGCAACCACCCGTAGAGACTTAGGGGCCTGGGTGTTGGTTATCAGTGTCTAAATAGCTGTGCTTTTCATGGGTTCCCTCCTGTTTCCAGTCTTGGTTGATGTAAGTTGTTAGTAAACCCAGTTTAATTTCTAAGATTGTCAGAAGTAGGAGCATTTGGTTTTCCACTTATGCCATGTGCTGCCATTTATTGCCATTTCATATAGGCTAGAGAAATACGCCCTTAAGGCTTCTTCCTTCCTCCAGAACTGTCTCTTTAAGTAAGTTGCATACTTGATGCAATAAAGATACGTGTTTCAGTAATGTACCGTGTTGAACTGAAAGATTGCATCCGTACCCAGTAAGTAGATCTTATTCCAGTAACACTAGTAGACCTGAAGATTGGCCTTCTCTCCCTTTTTGAACAGAAAGTGAGGTATGGTACAAAACCCACTCACAAGATGGTTTTTTTCTCTCTCTTTTTTTTTTTTTTTTAAGCCTTTTAATTTTTTTTTCTTTTGACTGGTGTTTTGTCCTCTGGGTTTGAGCAACTTCTGCCAACTAGTTTTTATTGAGGCATATCAAAATGCTTTCCTGATAAGTTTCCCTTCTGATGCATGCTGTGCTTGTCTTTACAGGAGTTTCTTCATTATTTAATCGGTACCATTCTGCTTCTCATCGCATCAATTGTAGCAGCATCCAAGAGTTACAATTTGACTGGACTTGTGGCTGGAGCGGTAAAACTCTTTTTATTAGTCTTGACACTTTTTTAATTGCAATATATATTTTTAGTAGGACATTGGAAATCTATTACTTGTAATTTTATTTTCTTACAGACTTGCCTTGCTTGTGTCTTGGTTGGGTAAACTACGACCTAGCTCATGTCAATAAATGTTCTGTAACACAGTGAAAACAAAAAGATTTTGTTGTGAGACTCCAGGCTCACCACTAAAGTGGTTATTTGTCCTGTTAGAGAGTTGAAACCGAAGGCTCCTGCTTTAACTCATAAGAACTAATGTGTTTAGGGGAAGAATTAAGCTAATTCAGTTTTGATAAATGTCTGTTGTAGCAGCTGGAAGTTACGTAAAGGATTTCACCCCAGTCTTCAGCTTTTGACACCTCCAGCTCCTGAACAGAGCCCTGTTGAAGATAATTTCTCCTGAGCTAAAACTAACAGAGGTCCTGGGCTGACTTACTGGGAGATACTCTCTGTCTTGGTTCGAGGGCTCTATAGAGAGAGGCATGACTTCTGACTGTGGGCAACAGTATTTTCACCGCAGCAGGACCTGAAACGCAGCTCCTCCAGAATAAAGAATTGCTTTCAGAAACTTAATCCTGATGATGCAAACGGACTAGAAGACTTACCTGACTTGTTTATTTGGCAGATGGCAGGGAAAGACTTGTTTAAATGGGGCAGTAAAAGATCAGTAATCAGAGGTGTTAGAAAGTCTTTTCTTTGTTGCAGTATCCTAGTGAGAAGTCTAGAGGGTGACGCTCTATGCTGCTGTCCAGCTTTTTTCTCCTTGACTCTCAATCTATCTTTCAGTCACTGTTTTGACAAAGCATAAGCTGCTGTAATACTATGGAAACTTTTTTTTTTTTAGTATATTGCCAGAGTAGAGTTAAAAAGTCAAATTTTTGGGTCTCTTAATGTCGTAAAATATGTAGCTGGGTATACAAGAGCGTCCATACATTCATGGAATATGTGTCATCTAATGTTCTGTAAGTATTTGTGGTTTGTTTGTTTTCTCATCTAGACTTTCGGGTTCCTAGCTACGATCCTTTGTGTTTTAAGCATTTGGTCATCCTACAAGGTTTCGTGCATCACGCAGTCAACAAGTAAGTATCATGCTTAGTAACTGCTGGAATGCTTCCCAAAATTAATATTTATATTTTCTGCCACAGGGCAGTGTCTACCTGGAAGGATTTATTAACCTCCTATTCCTTGTTACTCAAAATTACTCACAAAGCGATAATTCCATATTTTCTGTCAACACAGACATAGCACAGCTACTGACAGCTGTTAAGTAACTATAAGAGCAAAATAACTTGTCTCTAGCAAGTAGTGAATATATCAGTGCTTTCTCTTCTCCCTTCCCCACCCCCTGCCAAAAGAAGGTTTCCTGTGTGTTCCTTAATCAAGTAGATGAATCTGTTTGTGGCAATGCAAGTGACACTGTTTTCTTTTTTTCAAAGATGCATCTGTATGACTCCTTCACCTCCACAAGATGTCTGCTTTACAAAATACAATACCAAAGAAGAGTGTCCACTACTGAGAAGAGAGCATGGATATTTTGTTACTAGCCTGGACAGCCGGTAGCTTTTGAAGATCTACTTGACTGCCTATGCAAAACAATGTTGTGAACCAAAGTTTTTCTGCCCCCCCCCCCCCCCCCCAAGTTTATAATGGAGAACCTGCTTTTTATAAGCTTTAAAAAGAAAGACAACTTCTGTCTCACAAGCTGGGCTGGAGTCATTTCCACCTATTTGCAATAAGTGCCTTTAAAACTCATTTGGAGAGTCATTTGGTTCTCCTGTCAGAGGGATGGAAAACTTGCTTCTAATTTCCTCCATCTGTTTACAGAAGGGAAATCCTGCAAATTCCTACCTGATTCTTAACTTCCAAGGATGATTTGTTTAACAAAGGAACTGTTACAAACTGATTTCTGCCTGGATAAGCTGACCCGTCTTTGTTACCTCTTCAAAGTAGAACTGTGGACTTTTTCTAACATCAGCTCAGCCAGCGTCAAAAATTATGAGCTGCAACTTGAATACATCACTGCAAACACTCCCTCCTAACCCCAACAGTACATGATGAAATCAGGTTTTCATCCGGGAATTTTTACAGATTATTCTTAAAACCTTCCCTCTGCCAAATACAGGAAAATACATTTAATGGTTTGTGGGATCTTTTTTTTTTTTTTCCTTTTCACAAATACTCATTTGTAAAATGGGTATTTGTAAGACCTGTTCTGTAGAAAATTTCTGTGCATTTCATATAAATTATTCTCTTTGGAGTCTAACAGTCTTTATGGAAAGCCCATTGGGAGTGGAGCAATGTCCTTCTTTCTGTCTCTTACATGCAGTTTGTCCCTTCCTCTGCCTCTGCTGGGATCTGTGCTTTTGAGGACTCTGCCCAGAGCCTGGACAGGCAGAACAGTTCAGTTTTGTCCAACCTGGTGTCATCATGAAGTTCTATGTAGCTTCGAGGCTGAGACAATGCCTTCTTGGCACCTCTGTCTTTCTGTCCTTTTGCAGTCCATCTCTGGTGAGCTGGCAATTCTTTGCGGGGAAAAAGGGAAGCACAGACCCTTCCTCCTTGGTGCTGTGCTCTTTCATGTCTAGCTGTGAAGTAGAACTTGTACTTATAAGTCGGTCTCGTCTGTCAGGACAACTGCAGGGTGGTGCAGCAGGTTTGTGCAAAAAGTAGGATTTATACAGTTTACCAGGTCCAAGCTGAAGGGAAAAAAAAAAAAAAAGCATTTTCTGGCCTGCTATGCATTTTTCTATTTGTCTGAAATTCTGCATCAATACTGCTAAGTAAGTTAACAGTCCTCTCAAAATTCTTTTTGTGCCTCATCATACATTGCCATTTGTTGCCACCTTATTTTTTTCTCTCATCCTAATATATGTCTTTAATTTGATTTTTTTTAACTCTTTGACAAGAGAAATTGGCCAACTGTTAAAATGTCAAAAATTTTAAGTAAATGAAAATAACTGAGCAGATGATAACCTGAAAAGGTAGAAATCCCCCTCCTCACAGTGCATGGTTTCTGTGATTCTTCTTCCTGTTCCTTTTCATCAGGGCCCTATTTACAGCAACATAGAGCAGGAAACAATTTGAAAGCACAAAAGTCTGCTGTTTGTGGATGAAGATACATATATTCACTCCCTTTGACATTAATATAGAGGATTATTCAAATAAGACCATATAACAGACAGTTATAATGTTATTAATTTCATATTGACTATTTTTTATTTCTTTACAATGTCCAATTTTGGTCTGCTTTTCTGCCCTATACCTTCAGATGACATATTTTGCGTTTGGTCAGAAATGGGTTGCTTTTTTCTTTTTAACAACCCGAACTGAGCATACCTCAAAGGCTCTGTGGCTTAAGAGAACAGACATCCTTCTCAGCTACGAATCCTGTGTCAGCTGGGTCAGTGATGGTTCAGGCTTCCTTGCCCTGCCAGCACAGGACCAGTTCAAAGGAAATACACCCCAAGAGACTTCATTCTGGGCAACTTGAGTGAAAATACCTGCAGAAGAAGGTACACACATACACACACACACACACATATATATGGGGTTTTTTGTAACAATGGTGCTTGAATCATCAATGGTCCAGCCAAGACTGACTTAACCGCAGTTTTTTTGAAACCAGCACCCTGACATTAATTTGGACTGACATGGTAGATATTTAAGGATACAACCTCTTCTGTTCCCCCAGAGGAAAGAGAAGTGCTCTATTTCTGATGGTGTCTCCTTCACCTTCTGAGATATCACTTCAGATAGATACTAGGCATCTTCCTACAAGCTTTAACCACTCTTGGCAATCCTGTGGGAAAGCAGCGTTCTGCTGTACACAGTGTGAATGCAGCTGAGACCTCAGCACTGTGGTGGCACTGGGGAGAAGCACCTGCTAAGGATTGGGGCTGGAGCCTGAACTTGCTCTGAAGAAAAGTCTGTTTCCTCTCTCTGCTGGAATTGTGCCCTCTTTCCTGGCACTACACTGGCATCTTTTTTTCAGCTTCCCACATCACTCTGTCACTTGTCACCATGTGGGGAAAAAAAAAAAAAAAATAGGGGGAATTTCATGCAGTCTGACAACCAAAGAATTTTTGAACTATGCTCTGTGATCATCCAAAGAATATGTTTTGCTGCAAGTGCACTCGTTTATACTGAATCAAAAGAAGTAAATTACAAGTTCCCTTTTGGGTTTTGTGCCTGTCGACAGGTCTAAGGTATGCCTGCAGCTTTTGCTGTTATGATGGTGCTGGGTCCGTAGACCTACCAGATGCTCTTAATGCAGGATGCTTTCAGGCTGGAAAACTGACCTCTCTGCTGCCAAAGCTTCCTCACTCCCCCCCCCAAATCCTCCTTGTGAAATATGTCTACCAAGAAAAGCACAAGTTTTGCTGGTATCACCAGCTCTACCAGCGCTCTTTGAAAGACAGCTCTGTCTGGCAGGGACTTTGGCACCTTACTACTGTAGCTCTGCCAGCAAAAGTGTTTTAAATTTCCTTCAGTGTCAACCTGGTTCTGAAAGCTCCATCTGTCTGCAACTTTGTCAAATATGGGATTCCAGCAGTTTTAAAAATAAACAACTATATTCACTATTTGGATGATGTAATGGCTTTGAGAATCAGATTGTTGTCTTGCTCATTTTTTTCCTTCCTCTACTAGAGCAGTGTCTTTCTCTCTGGGGAGTGTCAGAATACATCCTGTAACTGGAGGACAAGAGGTAGGAGCCACAGAAAATACTGCCTTTGTGTATGAGTGTGCTGGTCTCTGACTAGCCCACCCAAAAGTTGTCCATCCTCTTCAGCTCCAAGATGAGTGTAGTATATCCTTTGAGCCAACACAGGTAGAGTTTCAGGTTCAGTTTTACTGAAAATTAAAATGTAAATGTTGGGAGAAGAAAATAGTACAAATTGTTTCATACTGCAAAACAGAAACCCCTGATGTTTGATCTCTGTGGGCCTGAGATAAGTTAGAGAGTGAATAGTGCTTTTGTTGGGTAGAAACTGGGAAGATGAGAAAGGGAAATGAAACTTAAAAAAGAGGAAGGGTGGCTTTGAAAAGCTTGAGGACCACAGAGCTGGATGAAGACGCTGCAGGTTATGTGATGGTTTGCACACTTTTTCTGTTGCTCTGAAATGGTTGTGTTTTGCATTGTGTGAACTATGAAGGAATGGGTTCTTTGCTCCTAAAAGGCTTTGGGAACAAATCACTATGATGTGGAGTATGGTGGGGACGGCAGGACAGTAGGATAATGATAACTTAGTTTTATGGTTTCAATGAAAGGGGGGAGGGGGGCGTGATGCTTCAGGGAAGAGGCCTAGGAGCTTATTAGGACAAAAAGGAGCAGGGCACAAGGAAGAGCAGGTACAAACATTAGTAGAAAGCTTATGAGGGGAGGAACTAATATGAGTACATTATGCACTAATAGAACAATTTCTGGCTGTGTCAGTACTTAAAGGGCAGACGTGCCTGGAGTGATAGAAAAGTCTCTCTTTTCTGCTTGCCTGCTATGTTTACTTCATATCCTGTGTCTGGGGTTTTCATGTTCTGCTAAAGCTGCGGGAGGATGCACTAAACCTCACCCAGAGGCTGCGAAACATGGCATTAAGTTGCTACGTGTTCTGCCCTGTTTAGCTTAAAATTGCTCAGGGCTCCACTGTTCTTAGAGAGAGCGTGGAGCAAAATGCTGCTACTGAGCATGAAAGGCTGTGTGTTGGCCAGTGGCCATGGCCATCCCTCTGGCTAGGGCCAAAAGTACAGACCTGCTTTCAGAGCGAGTGTCACCTGAAAGCCGAGGAAAGCTGGAGTTAGGTATGGCTGGGCCCTACTGAGGAGCTTGACACTGGGCTGGCGTCCAGGAGGTGCTGCTGGTTGTGTGAGATGGGGAGAAGTGGGTACCAGAGAAAGGGTCTGTGGGAGGCCCACATCCTGTTCTTTCTGCCTGCATTGATTTACACCCAGGTGGCAGGAGTGCCCTCACCACAAAGCTCGAGGGTATTCTTAAGGAGCCCTCCTCTTTAGGCCGTTTCAGTTTTCAGACTGGAGCGCAGGTGGAGGCACCATGCCCTTGGCTTACCTGTCTCTTCTCTGCAGATGCGCAGAGCTGCACAC